ATGCAGTGGGATTCTGGGGGCACAGAGGGGCGCTGGGGGGCACAGGGGGGCACAGGGGAATGCAGTGGGATTCTGGGGGCACAGAGGGGCGCTGGGGGGCACAGAGGGGTGCTGGGGGATGCAGTGGGATTCTGAGGGCACAGGGGGGCGCTGGGGGGCACAGGGGGCGCTGGGGGGCACAGGGGGATGCAGTGGGATTCTGGGGGCACAGGGGGATGCTGGGGGGCACAGAGGGGTGCTGGGGGGGCACAGAGGGCCCGACTCACCAGGCCTGTTTGAAGGGCTGGCTGGGCCAGCGGTGCTGGCACTGGGCGAGGCCGGGCCGGGTGGGCACCGTGGTGCTGTAGATGACGTAGGGCAGCATGAGCAGCAGGGACAGCAGCCAGGTGCTGGCGATGACCCGGTAGGCGTGGGAGCGGGTTTGCCACACGCGGGACTGCAGCGGGTTGCAGATGGCGCTGTACCGCTCGATGGCGATCGCCACCAGGCTGAAGGTGGAGACGCTGACGGAGATGCCTGGGGGGGCACACGCCACGTGAGCCCCCCCCGGCTCATGCCCTGCACTGCCCAGCACGGGGGTGCAGGCGAACTGGGCACCCAGCGCCACTCCCAGGGACAGGGAGACAGACCCCAGCTCGATCCCCCCGGCACCAGCACAGGCCCAGATCCCTGCCCCCCAGATCCCCGGCCCTGGCCCCCCAGATCCCCGGCCCCCCAGATCCCTGGCACCCAGATCCCCAACCCCGGCCCCCCAGATCCCTGGCACCCAGATCCCCGGCCCCGCCCCCAGCCCCCCCGGATCCCGGCACCCCCAGATCCCCAGCCCCACCCCTGCCCCCCTGGATCCCAGCTCCCCCAGATCCCCCCCGCACTCACTCATGAGATAGGCCACGAGCTTGCAGACGGCGGGGCCGAAGACGAAGGTGCCCATGAGGTTGGGCACGAGGGTGAAGGGCATGCAGCACAGCGCCAGCAGCAGGTCGCTCAGCGCCAGCGAGAGCAGGAAGGAGTTGGTGACCGTGCGCAGCCGGCGGTTCAGCACCAGCACCACGATGATCAGCGAGTTCCCGAAGACACTGAGCAGGAAGATCAGCGCGTAGAGCAGGACCCGCACCGTGAACTCCAGGTCTGCGGAGACGGAGAGCAGGGTAACGCCGGGGGCCCGGACGCCTGGGTCCTCCCCGGCTCGGGCAGGGGTAACGCCGGGGGCCAGGACGCCTGGGTCCTCCCCGGCTCGGGCAGGGGTAACGCCGGGGGCCAGGACGCCTGGGTCCTCCCCGGCTCACGGGGAGGCTGGGAGCCAGGACACCCATGATGATGCCTGGGGGCCCCCCACTGACTCTGCCGCAGGATGGCTCCCCCCACCCCGCGCCTACTGGTCACCCTCCCCATGGCGCAGCCTCCCCTGGCCCCAGGGCAGCCCCCGACTCGCCCACACTGTGTTGGGTTCCTCCCTCTGCCCCCCCCCCCCGCCGCCTGCTGGTCACCCTCCCCACGGCGCTGCCTCCCCTGGCCCTAGGGCAGCCGCAGGCACAATGCCCGGTGGGGACCAGTGTGGCACAACCAACACCCTGGGCACCAAAAGCCCCCAACGCCACACTGGGATCTTCCCTGACCCGCCCCCCCCACTGCGCTGGGCTCCCCCGCCCCGCGCTGGGTCCCCCTGCAATCCCTCCCCCCGGCGCCGCACTGGGTCCGCTCCCCCTGCCCCCCCACACCCCTGGTCTGGAAAATGAGCGCGGGCAGGGATGGGCCCTGGGAACGCTCAGGGGCTGGAGAGATCCCTGCCCGGGAAGAGCGACCAGGCCGGGCTGGCATAGGGGCGATGGGAGAGAGACTCCGGAGTGGGACGCAGAGCGAGGGGGAGTCGCTGACACTCCTCTAGCCCCTGGGCCCCGCTGGCCTGCGGAACTCACCACCACCAGGTCCCCTGGCCGGGTGCAGGCCCTGGCGTTGCTGTGGCTATCGAGCCCCCAGAGCGAGGCCAGAGAGGAGCGTGTGTGGGGTGTCCCGGGGACAGCTGAGCCACTGGGGCTCCAGGCTCTGGGGGCTGGGCCTGGCCCGGTGGCTCCCACGCCTGCCCTGGACGGCCCCTGAGCTGAGCAGGCCAAGGTCACCCAAGGGCCCGACAGCCCAGCGTCCGTCCGCCCGTGACTGGTGCCAGCTGCCGAGCAAATGGCGTCCGGGCAGTGGACGCAGGCGGCTGGAGCCCAGAGGCGCCGTCTGACAGGCCATGGGGCCGGCCCCACAGGAGAGCGGGAGCTGGGGGCCTCCTCGCAGGGACTGTTAACTCGGGTGCGGTGCCGAGACGCTCAGGCCGGGTCCGAGTTTCCCTCCTGCGGGAAGTGCCAGGCTGTGCTCCCCCTGCCCGTTGGCTCTGCGGGACGCCTAAGGATCCGGAGTCCCAGCAGACAAGCGACCCCCCCAGGCTCCCCGGACCCTCTGGGCCAAACACGGGGGAGATGGCGGCTCATGGTGGCTCCGGTACCGACCCAGGGCCCAGCCCCAGACTCCAGTCCAGCCACGGGCTGCGGGTCAGGAGTGAGGGGCACCGGCAGAGCTGGGGGGGGGCAGGGCTGGGCAGGCAGGGGCTGCGGGTCGGGAGTGAGGGGCACCAGCAGGGCTGGGGGGGGGCAGGGCTGGGCAGGCAGGGGCTGCGGGTCGGGAGTGAGGGGCACCAGCAGGG